CGCGTGATTCGAATCACGCGCGTGATCCGCGCGTGACGCGCGGGATTTTTGAAAAAACTGCGATTTGCCCATCTCTAGGCACAGGCATCTCTATAGATGAAAAGAAGACATTTGAATGGCATTTAAAATCTGCTGAAGGCGGTGATTCTAGTGGGCAATTTAATGTTGGAAATTGCTATCTAAATGGTGTTGGCGTCCCTAAAGATGAAAAGAAAGCATTTGAATGGTATTTAAAATCTGCTGAAGGCGGAATTTTAGTGGGACAATTAGAAGTTGGACTATGCTATCGAAATGGTATTGGAATACCTCAAAACCAAGAAAAAGCTACTGAATGGTTACAAAAGGCAAAAGTTAATGAAAGCAATCAAAAAACTTATAAAAGCGGAAACTCTAATATTGATAAATTTTTGAAGAATGCTTTAGATGAAAATAAATATTTACTAGCATGGATTCCATTTGATAAACTAAAGATTTATGAAAAGTTGGAGAAGGAGGGTTTGCAAGTGTATATTTAGCTCAATGGTATTCGAATGAGAATATAATTCCCGTTGCACTTAAATTGCTTCATGGATCACAAAATAGTTGCGAAGAACTTCTAAAAGAGGTAGGTTTAATTAGTTTACATCTGTAAAATATTTAATTTACATACTAATATATTTACAATATATTGCATTATAGCTAAAGGTATATTATGAGATTGCATGTAAACATCCTACATTTTTGCAATGTTATGGGATATCAAAAGATGATGCCACTAATGATTACGTATTAGTTATGCAATGGGCAAGAAAAGGATCATTGCGTTATAATCTTCATACTGTTTTACAAATGAAATGGAAAGAGAAATTAAACATATTATCCTATATTGCGCAAGATCTTCAAATTCTTCATTCTCATAACATTATTCACCGGGACTTGCATAGCGGAAATATACTACAAAATGAAGCGCATACAGCATATATTGGAGATTTAGGACTTGCAGAGTCAGTTAATCGCATTAACAAAATCAAAAGCTTATGGAGTCATTCCGTATCTAGCACCTGAGATTATAAGCAAAGGAATATATACTCGAGCATCTGATGTTTATTCTTTTGGCATAATAATGTGGGAAGTATTATCAGGAAAGTTGGCATTTTCATATAGAAAACATTATTATCACCTTTCTTTAGAAATCTGTGATGGAACAAGACCAACTGCTGTTAAAGGCACAACACAATGTTATATTGATATTATGGAAAAGTGCTGGGACAATAATCCAGAGAAACGAGGTACTTGGCGACGCCAATGATGCACCAACTAGCGCGCGAACACAGGTATGGTGTAGAGGTGGCGAGCCAATCATGTTTAAGTTTACTTCATATTAGAAAAACATGTGCGATTCGATGTGATTCGGGAATTATAGCAGTTTTAGTTGGCTTCTAAAGGGTAGCTGAAGGATAGGGTCAGTTTTGTCTAATGATTTAATACTGCAGCAACTTATCACGGTAAGTTAACTGTAAAAAGTGTCTATAAGTTGTTATTTAAACTGATCAGGAGTTCCTAATGTAGACAGTGAATGAACACAAAATACAAGCGTGGTTGTATTATTAAAAAGTGAAAGTCATTTCAGTAATTGTCCAAATAATAAGTGTTTATGCAACATAACAAGATGTAATCACATTTATCTCTGTTGCAGTCGCTCGAAATATTATTACTAAAGGTGGAATCCTTTCGAGATACTTTGTTTAGCGCCTTTTTATTCACTATGGTAATTACGACACAAAACTTATCGAATTAAAGATCGCACATAGTGTAGGACAAGCCGATATAGACAGAACGAGGACTTTACAACAAAAAATAATTCCATGGGCAAGTAATTTGCCTCTCACCATTTATATGTTTTTATTAACAGAAGCTTCTAATCTATTCAATGCTGATTTGTACTTGAAAGGCAATGATATGGAGCTCTTTCACTTTCTTTCTGGAGGTCCTTATACCATTAATTATGCAACAAGAAAAGAATTATAATGAAATCAAGGATCTAATATTATGCAAAAAATTTGTACCATTTCAGCCAAGAAATAACGATGCGCAAAATAATTCAGAAGAGTATCCCCCGAAGGACAGACATGAAAATAACTACCAACTCAATGTAATTGTGAGATCAATCTTGATCCGTAAAGACCTAGTACTTTTGTGGAAAGAAATTAGTTATTTTGAAAAAAAAAATCTATTTGTAACAGCCTGTTAATGTTAGGGTTAGGGTTAGTGTTAGTGTTAGGGTTAGGTTTAAGGTTAGATTTAGAGTTAGTATCAAAATTAATACAAAATTGCGAGAGGATTATTTTTCATTAATATATCTAAAGCAAGTTTGCTTGTAAAATTTTGTATTATAAAGGATTTTAGGTATAGGCTATTATGTAACAGGCTGTTACAAATAGATTTATCCATTTTGAAATATGTGAGGATATTAATGATCTTGTGATACAAGGATCATTTTTAATTCTATTTCCACCAGAGCAACCACCAGGATGGACCAAACCTGAGACCAAAGTCGTTAAAGATAGACTTACAGAGTTGATTAAACTAGGGTTTCATTTAAATTATAGTATCATTGTAGATATATTCCACCTTTTTGAAAGTCGATTATTCTTATTAAAATTATATATATGGAAATGACAAGAAAAAAAGATATCAAACATTTTGATTTTATTCTAATTGTACTCTAAAACTACAAGTAAATTATTTTGGCATTTTTATAAACAAATTGATATGTATTTAAGTAACAATTAAATCAAGGAATATAGTTTAGGAACCTTCTATTTTTGATTCCGGAATGGGTTTCTCAAGGCCAAGAATTACAGAGTGCTAGTTGGCAAGAGAGGTAGAGGAGGAAGAATAATTTGGGGTGTTACAGTAGATTCAGCATATACTTTACTTTACAGAGAAGTTACGTAATATTGGTTTTGTATACCAAATTCAGACATAATAGCAATCAAATTCAAACCAATATTATCAAGAAGAGAAAAACAGAAATTTTTAAATAAATCAAAATATTTTAGCAACCACCAGACCAAATTCATCAAATTTTTTTTTTATTTAAATTCTATGAATCTTAGAATTCAAATAAAAAAATTTATCGAGTTTGGTTAGATGTGTTGGGTGGTTGTGGAGATAACTTCATTCAAAGTTAGAGAAAAATCACTATCAAAATAAAAGCTACGCCAATTTTTTTAAAATTTGAGCGAAGATATTTCCACAACCACCTAACCAAATTTGATGGTTTTTTTTTTATTTGAATTTTATAAATTTAAAAAATTCAAATTTATTGAATTTAGTTGATAGATTTTTTTTTTTTATTAGATTCCATGAATCTATAGAATTCAAAAAAAAAAAAATTTGAATTTGGTTATGTGTGGAGATATCTTCATTCAAAATTTTAAAAAAAATTGGCATAACTTCTATTTTGATAGGTGTTTTGATTTTTCTCTAACGAAGGTATCTCCGTAACTACCTGACCAAATTCGATAAATTATTTTTTATTTGAATTTTAAGGTCGAATTTGGCCAGGTGCTAAGATATTTTGATTAAAATTTTTATTTTCTCTTCATAAATAGTGTCAAAATACACATGTAACAAATGCGCATGAAACTTAGAACAATTGTCTTGCCAAACTTGCGGTCTAGGAATTATAATGAATTTAAGAAAAGCTAATGAACTGTACAATAAAATAAGAATTGAAAAATCTGAAAATATATCTTGGAAGATATTTTTATAAAGGTAAAAAAAATAAAAAGAAGGGTGACTGTAAAAGAACTTTAAGCTTACACAAAAATCCATATTTGTATAATTGGAAAATTAAGTAGAGTAGAATTTTTATCTCAGGCATCTTTTGATTTCGATTTTTGAAAATCTGAAAAACATTTCTGAATTGAAATTGAATTAATTTCGTAATTGCCAGAAAAATAATATACCTATAATGACTTTATTTGATAATTTGTTCGTTTTCAAATAGTGAACTACATGCTATTGTTATCTAAATTATAAATGCCTTTATCGTTGCCATTTAAAATTTTATTTAGCTAGGCCACACCAACCTAATTCTTTGTTTAGCTCTCTATTTATTAAAATTTAATAACACCAGTGATAGCAATATAAATTTGATTATTTATTCTCTTTTTACAAATATTTGTTAAACAAATAAATTTGCTATGGTATGATTTAGTAAGAATGAGTTTATTATTTTCAATTGTAACTAATAAATATATGAGGTTGAGTCAATAGAAATCAAGCAAATATTTTTTAACAAGTTTTTTTTTAACTTTAAACAAGGATAACTTATCAAAAACTTAATCAAATTTAATAAAAATTTTTTTAAATTAATCCTACAAGTTTATAAAAATTATTTAAAAAAAAATTATTAAATTTAATCAAGTTTATGTTAAGTTACTCTTGTTTAAAATTATAAAAAAATTTTATTATAAAAAATTTGCTTGATTTCTATTGACTCACCCCTATATATTCTTGCTTCATAATGATAATGATAAATTCGATTGATATCTATATTTGGCTTCGAATGCAATAACTTAAATTTTATATAATACAGTGTAGATCTCAATCATAACTGAAAATTTTTTTTACACATCAACTTCTTTCTTTTTCATACATGAATAAAATTAACATATTAAATATAGGTGAGTTTGAGAGGTTCTTCTAAACTATATTTTTTTTAAAAATAAAAACAAGACTAGTCTTTAATAAATTTAATGAGGAGTTAAATAAATCTTTAGAAAAAAGATTTGAACTATTTTGTATTAATTTGTTGAAAAATGAATTCTTACCTTGGGGTGCTAGAATTAAGTGGACAGGGTGAGTATTTTCTCACTAGCTTTGTTGAGTTGTTATGTATTTGAAGTTATGTGCCAGGTCATCATAAAATATCCAAAAATTAAAAGCTCGTCATGGTCTATGTTACAGCATAGAACATTCTTCTTGGTTGTTTAACTTTACGGCATCTTTTTCAGTAATTAGCCTGGTAAAGAGAATATATGCTATTTTTTTAGTTTTATACTTCTATAAAACAAAGCTTATATAATATTGTCAATTTAGTATTTTTGGAGATAAAGGTCGAGATATAATTATAGAGATAAGCGGTTATAAAATAGTTATCCAATACAAGGCTTATTTTAATAGATACTGTATATAAGTATGTATCTTTGTCTATAATTTTGAAAAAATTACTTACTAATTTTTATCATAATTATAAGAAAGAGAACATGTTAATGAAGTTGAAGTTACTGTTGGGAAAGAGTTTAATTTTGGGATTTTAGAATTCAACCTGGGGTGATTAGGACAACTATTAGGTCAGGTGGAAAAGTTATTACCACAACCTACAATAGGATGTGTGATGATATTAAAGAAAAAGTTTTGATAGAAAGGATAAACTAGCTAGAAAAAAGACTAGAGAAGAATAAATTTAATCTAAATTATCATTTGTTTTATAAATATTGGTATTAGATTTCATTATTTATTGCAATTTATAAGCTTTTTATCAGTTAACTAAATATATTAGAGTACAATTTATATTATAATATTATGATTCCATCTGCTTTCTGATGTTATAAAATTTATAATCTTTCTAATTCAATAAAAGTGTTATTAAAAATTTATTCTAATAGTTACATAAATATCTTTTAATTCACACCATTATATTGTTATATTGTTATAAATTTGAATTTTATTTAATTGTCTACAAACATAATATTCAAATTTAACCTATACAGCTATATTTTGGAGCATTATAGTAATAAAGTAAAATTTTTTTTTTTTTTTATATTAAAGGTGAGGTCTTGCTCGTATCTTTATTTAATAATTTATATAAGTGATTACATAA